GTCTTTGCAATTACTTGCTATGCATCAGAAAGCTGGACCATGACTAGGGATGATAGAAAGAGAATTGATGCCTTTGAGCTGTTGTTGAATATACCATGGATCACTAGGAGAGCAAACAGGTTGGTCGCAGAGAAGGTAAACCAAGCTGCTCTTTGGAGGCAAGGATTCTGAAGCTTTGATATACTTTAGGCATGTTGCAAGGAGAGGCTAGTCCTTGGAGAGGGATATCATGCTTGGGAGGGTGGAGGGACAGCACAAGAGAAGAAGACCCTCGATGAGCTGGCTTGACTCAGTGACTGTGGTAATGGGGGTAGGTGTGTCAGAGACAATAAGGTCGGCTCAGAATAGAGCAGGGTTCAGAGCTGTTGTACAGAGGGTCGCCATGAATCACAAGCAGCACATAACAACAACAAGCAATGATTCTTATGAAGAACCTACAATGCATACAATGTCTTTTTCTGTAAATTTTGTACCTTCAGGAGAGCATTAGGCTGAATGAACACAGTCCCACAAGGACGAATATTATATAAAACCATTATTGTAGAATGAGTATGAGGATCCAAGGAGGGGCCCGGGAACAGCAGAGGGGAGAGGATGTGCAGGGGGTAAAAGGGGAAGGGAATTAATCATGAAGTCACAACAATTTGTTAAGGGGGGTAAGGAAAATGGGAAGGATCTGGTGTGAAAAACAATGTATTCAAAGTTTTTAAATAAACTAGTATAAAAATAATGTCAAATAGAATATATATGAATGATCGTATGAAACAATGTAAATGAAAGATTGTATAAAACACAATGTATATGAATGAAGCATACTGTAAAGGTATTATTATAGGAAAATCAAGAAAATACATTTTTAAAAAATGTTTAGTTACATGAAACCTGCAGTGTTAGTGAACACCTTTGGTGTTAATAAATGCAAGTCTTTGAACCCTGTTAGTAACTGATTGCTCTCATTTTCTAGGAGAAGTTTTGTTGCGGGTCTTCCTCTCTTTCTCTGACCCTCTGCCTTTCCAAGCATGATGTCTTTTTCCAAGGATCAGCCCTTTCTAGCAACATGACCCCAATATATGAGGTGAAGCTTTACCATCCTTGCCCCCACGGAAGAACCTCAACAGATGGATTGACACAGTGGCCGCAGCAAAGGGCTTGAGTATGTCAGAGATGAGGAGGAAGGCACAGAATAGGACCGCGTTTATGTTGTTCATAGAATCACTGTGAGTTGTAGTCAACGTGATGGCACCTAACAACAACAACAACGGTGGTATTGAGCTGTGCGTGTGGAAATTTTTGAAATGCCAAAATACATATAATTAAACTCAATTTAAAAAAAAATGTAACAGATGCTGCTACTGTTCGCTAACATTGTTAGCTAGTTTGTGTTGCTGTTAATGTCTGGGGCGGTGAGTGGTTACATCACAATGTACACCTACTCTCAGGTCATCTGAGTGCGTCCTCCCCAGTGCTTCCTCCTGGTGTCTGTTTTAAGACAACCAGATGGGAGGTCATGTGCAACTTCTTCCCACCCTGCCTCAAAGGAGCGCCGTGTCTGACACTTGGACGACGAAGACCACAGGACATTTTGTACTCCTTCTTCTCTCTGGCCATTTGCCTGCCCAGACCCCAGTGGTAGCAGGTGAGGTCTGCAGAGGAGTCTTACCCTTCATGGAATGGGTAGCCCCAGGTATTATTGCCCATCAAGCACTTAGGACCCTTGCTGATGGAGACGGCTGAGACAACGAAGGAATATCCTGCTCCCAGGACGCCGATGGCAGCAAATATTGTGGAGGTGAACATCTGAAAGAGAGCCAGAGAGATGGTCAGAATCAGCGTGGTCCAGAGCTGACCCGCAGCAAACCTGACAGCACTATTTGTGAACAATACGATTCTAGAGCGTGAAAAAGAAGAGCCGGTCTTCAGAGCAGACCATGGCTTCCTTAGAACGGCTTCAGAGCAGACCATGGCTTCCTTAGAACGGCTTGCAGGGTCTCAAGGCACTTGCCCTGTCTCAACCTTTCTGTCTTTTTCAGTACTGTTGCTGACTGAAGTTCTGTGGCTGTGGTTCTATACATTTGAACCACAGGTAGAATATTTTTTCTTCCTAATTTTTAAAAATGCATTAATTATTTTGTTTGAGTGAAGGTTTCTAAATCATAGTGCTATTTCATATAACCATGCATAGACACTTTGTTTTAGAACATTAATAACAGTTGATTAATGTAATTAATTAACTGTAAAATTTAATCAACCTCATATGTATTTCCTTTCCCCAGTTTTCAGCCTCCTTAAGAATAAAATCTCAGTGAGCTCTGGTGGCCTAGTGGCAAGAAGCTGTACTGCAATCTCAGAGGTGTGCACTTCGAATCTACCACGTGCTCTGTTGGAGAAGGAGGGACAGTGTCCTTCTGTACCAGTCAGATCTGATTTGACAGTACACACCCAAATAATAAAATAAAATGAATTTAAAAAAATAATAAAATCTCCTTCACAGGGATAATATATCAGGCCAAACAACTAAAGAATAGTTTTGCTTGGAGGCAGAGGTAATAAAAGCTTTGTCTCACAGCCTTTGGGCATGTTGCTAGGAGAGTTTATCCTTCGGAGAAGGACATGATGCTTGGAAAGGTGGAGTGTCAAGGAAGGAGAAGACTGTCAACCAGGTGGATTGACTCTCAACCAGACACAGCAACTGCAGCAAGGGCTTGAGCGTGACAGACATCGTGACACTGGTACAGGACAGGACAGGGTTCAGATCTGCTGCTCTTAGGGTCATGATGCATTTTACTCAACTTGATGCCACCTAACAACAACTAAAGGTTTTTTCATCTTGTTTTGGCTTTTTAAAAATCTTAGAATTGATGTTTCTCCTAAAAGTTTCTCGGTCCTACTGTAGGATCGCAAATAACAGGCATTCCCGTTTATGAGAAAGGGCAGAAGTCTTGAACATCTCCCACTGGTCCTAATTACATTCCTTAAAGCCAAAAAGATTAAGATCACCTTTCTTCCATGTGATTCTCAAATCTAAAATCATCACTGTCAAGTCCAACTGGTAAAACATATTGTGCCATGTTGTGACAAGGGCTACTCGGGACAACGGTCTTCAGAATATCTGAAGAAGACTATATAGAACATTACTCCACCCTCTTTTTTTAATTAAATTTTATTAATTTTGATGAACATTTACAGAGATTTTGGGTTTCCATTCATTCATTGTTGCACTATTTTCTCTACCCTCCTCCCCATTCTTTCCTCTTCCCCCCCCCTTGAAAGTCTGTTTTAATTGTCTCATTGCCACAGTGCTTGTCAAAGCCAGTTCTGATTAATCTCCTTTGTCAGTTACTCCACCCTCTTCTGTCCTCTGGAAGTCTTCTCTTCTTTGAGATAAGCAGCCCCAACAAGTCAAGTTCTTTCTGACTTACTTTTATGTAACTAGGAAGCAGGAGTGGCATCCACTTCCTAAACAACATGCCTCTGGAAACTGTGAACTTTGATAAATGTCGATAGCTATAGAAAAGCTTCAGGCCTTTTGATCACGGGGTCGCTATGAGTCATGCTTGACTTGACGGCAATCAACAACCACCACCACCAGGGTAATTAGAGAAAACATAATGGACCGACATTTTCTTAAAATTTAAAATCTAAAATCACAATAGAATTCCAGAATGAAAGACAGAATAAAGTCCAGAGTCCGCCCAGGCTAACTTCCTGTGATTGATGAGAAAGTCGAGGCCCAGAGAGTTTCGGTAATGTCCATTAATAGCAGTTAATAGAAAAATAGATGGAAACAATTTATTATTTTAGAAGTGGAGGTGCAAATTTGGAGACCTAACGTCAAACTTCAGCTCTGTGGCTTTCTGAATAATGAATCCACCCTCAGAGCCTCACCTATATAATGTGCATGACAAAAGGACACAAGATGCAATAACCTGGGTCAAACTTCTCCCTTGAACTTTACAAAGTCCAGCGTCACAGTATATGTTGGAGGGAGTCAGAGAGGTTGGGAAATGAAGAGCTCTGAATATACCTGAGAGGTGAGAATCAATGGAACAGTGGACTCTTTAGTCAGTATTCATTTTCATGCCATCTAGAAATACATTTTTGGTGCAACATTTCACAGCTCAACTTACACCTCGTGTTTCCTGTGAAGCCTTGATTGACTCCCCATGAATAAAAGACTACCTTCTCTTTCAAACATCCTGCCCCAGGCATTCTGACTACACACTTCTATGACAGGCCCAAGGATGTGAGTGCATATGTTGTTGTTGCTGTTAAGTGTCATTGAGTTGAGTAAAACTCATAGCGACCCTATGAACAAGAGATCTGAACCCTGTTCTATAACTATCATCGTTTCTCTGTGTTTGTAGAGTTTCCAGAGGCATGTGGTTTAGGAAGTGGATGCCACTCCTCCTTCCAAACCTGAATCAATCTCAGAGCTCCACCAAATACTAACCATTATTTGACACGCCTAGGGCACAGTGTTCAGCATCCCAGCAACTCCAGTACAGCAGATTACTTCAGTACAGCAAATAGACAGACCACTGTTGTACCATTTAAAATAATGTTCATCCCCAAATCAGTTAACACTAGACCCAAGGGCCTTTGGCCCAAGGGTCCTACCAGTATTTTAAAAACAGGCACACTCACCTTGCCTATCTGCCCACAGCATGCAATCCTTGGGGGAATGGACAATACTATTGTCCCATATATTTTCTAAGACTATAAATCCTCATGGAAGCAGACTAGCATACTCCCCTCCATGGAGTGACTGATGGCTTCTGACTCCCAACATTTCCGGTACCATAAGGGTTTCTTTGTTAGTGAATTGTTGTCATTGCTGCTATGTACCTTCAAGTCAGAACTATACTAGTTGACCCCCCAGCAGGTTTTCAGAGAAAGTAAATCACACAAGAGATTGCCTGTGTTTTTCCCAGTGGAGCAGCTTGTAGATTGGTTGATGCAAGCAAACAGCAGAAAATTGGCATTAAAATAAAGAGGCCAAAGCCTAGAACACTTCTGGAAGGAGACATAAAATGTGGTACTGTGGTAAGACTACAAGTAGTTAAGTGCTTGGACAGTAACTTTCTGGCTTTCAGTTGAAACCTATTAGTTGCTATACAAAGCAAAAATGTATTTCCACAAATATCACGTCCTTGGAAACCCTGTGGAGAAGCTCTACTCTGTCCTACAGGAATGCGAGTGGTGGAAATCAACTGGGTGGTAACAGATATGGTCTTGTCTGGATGCGTGTATCAGAGTTGGGAGGCAGGAATGAGAGGCTCCCTCGGTAGTCTGTGTGCTGTGTAAGCTTCATCTGTTCTAACTGAATCAGTAGTAAAGAGGCCACCACTGTGTGATTGAGGACATGAGATCGAGGACATGAAACAGATCTGGGTGTGAGACTCGATTCCTCCCCTAGGACTTTGAGAAATTAATCTTGCTATCTCTTTATGTCTTCTGTGTGAAGTAAGGGTCCATAATAAAGTACCTGACTTGCAGAGTCAAAACATGAAGAAAACCCAGTCAACAGTACACAGAAAATCCAAGGTACACGCTCTAGAAAATCAGATAATCTCCAGGCGAGGTTGGCTCCTAGTCCTCCACCCACCTGAGACTCAATAATCTCATTGGCTGATTTTCAAGTTTTAGATAACTCCTCATGACATAAGCACTTGATAAATGTCATTATTCTATTACATTATGTTAGTTTTATTACCACTTATCATACACTCTAATTTTCCACAAATACAAAGAGCATTACCTTGAGGAGAAAAAGATATACTTGCTATGCATACCATTTCTTTTCACAACAAAAACACCCCGGAGAACTTCTGGCAAAGGAAAAAAAAAAATCCAGTATGTACAAATGTGTGTGTATCTATATTGTTTCATCACCTCAATTACCTTGGACATGTTGCTAGGAGGAGAAGGACATGATGCTGGAGGAGGGTGGAGGGTTGACGAAGGAGAAGAAGACCCTCAACCAGGTGGATTGACATTGTTACTGCTGCAATGGACTTGTGTGTGCCAGGAAGTGTGAGGATGGCACAGGATGGAACAGGGTTCAGGTCTTTTGTTCATAGGTTTGCTATGAGTCATGCTTGTCTCAACAGCACCAAACAAAATTAACAACATGCTGTTAAGTTGGAAATGACTCACAGCTAACCCTGAAGTGGGTTTTCAGAGGCAGTAAATTGCACTGGAGGAGACTGGTCATGTTTCTCCTGTGGATTTAAATTTGGTGGACTCAAACTGCATGCATTTGGGATTGCAACACAGCTTCTTACCACAAAGCCACCAGAATGCGTGTGAGTGTGTGTGTGTGTGTGTGTGTGTGTGTGTGTGTGTGTGTGATGGATAAAATGTCCTTTAATCAGTGTCCCTAATTCCCAGCCCCATACCCCATAGCTCCTCTCCTCTCCCACTGACCAAGGCCAAGCCCCACCTTTTTGCTCAGTTACAGGCCCTATAGGTTGCCTCTGCCTACGTTCTGACTGGATAGAGAAGGGGTGATGTTGATAAGTTACTGTACTGGATAGCAGTTGACACAGCCCTTGCCTTTTTGGCTCCACTTCCTGGGGCACCTGCCCACTGCTGCTGACTCCATCGCTGTTAAGGACTGTGGGATCATTCTGAGGTCACTCCCCACCCCCGGGAGTGTCAGGGGATGTAGTCCACACTCTCTACTCCTGTTCTACACATCCACCAGTCCCTCCATTCTCTAACCCTCCCCGTTTTCCTTAAAATAACTCGTCTTATCTGGCCTGGGTGGAGACCATGGTAGGCATGAACCTCAATTT